ACCTTGGAAAACTAGGCTTGTGGGAGCCTCTATTAGATGAGACCATAAACCCTAATTTTCTAGAGAGAGAAAATTTATTCCTTTTTCCTTCTCATATAAATCACCCACTCAAATATACATAGACCATGTATATTTATAGGCAACATAAAAATAAAGAAAAGGAAACAACAAATCCTTCTCCATCTCTAATTCATATGTCTCAAATCTAATATGATTCCAATATCAAGTTGGGCTATGAGTGAGAATCCATTGGGCCAATTATTTTATTGGCTACAATGAATTAATAATTGGCCCGGTCCATGGACCCAATTCAATTAATTCATAAATTAATTTCTACTCCACTAAAAGAAATTAATTGAACTCCAATTAAATAATAAATAACCTCTAAGTCAATATTGCACTTTGACCCCTCTATGAATAATTAGTTATCGGATAAATATAGCTATCAATCCGACTACTTAATTAATTTATTTATTTTGGTACCTTTGATTATTTCTGGCTCGATCACAATAAAACATTTGTTTGACAAAAATAATAATTTAAATAAATAAATATATAATAAATCATTTTGTCTAAAAACACACGAAGGCCTTTGAATTTACTTTGTGATCAACCATAATCAATACAAAATAAATACAAGTAGCAATGATGCAAATATTGAAAATATAACCCTCTAACTATTAATTACATAACTACCCAAAGTGTCGGTCTAAGGATCCCGAAGAATCCGCCGAACAAATCAAAGTAATTATTAATTAATAAAAGAGTCTATACTTTTCTCATGCTTAAGAGTCAAATGCCATGACGGTGATAGGGAGTAATTGCATACGACGGCTCTCGCAATATATCTCAACCTAACGCGGATCCAGTTCAAGTCTTAATTAATTATGAGTCCATCCATAATTACCGACTATGAACAATTTATAATTACTATTTATATATCATGCATTGATTGTCATCACATACATATATATAAATATTTCTTGTAATTAAATGGACACTATCAATTTCATAGTGAATCGAAACATAATACATTGAATTCACCAATTATATAAATCATAAATATTTCAGATATGTCAGGAACATATGTCACTACAATCCAGATAGGAATTTGCTATGCCAGGGCATATAAATCCCAACAAAAACAACATCGACAAATGGCCTAAGCTAGACATTAGAGTTTCCATCGTGGAGAAGGGAAGGAGATCTTGAGGAGGGGTTATTGTTGGAAGGCCTACGTCCACATCTGAATCTAAAGAAGCTGAAATTATTTAATTATTCGAGAGTGAGTTTCCCAAGTTGGATGATGGTTGACAAAATTGGGTTATCCCTCCCAAATCTAATCAGAATTGATATACAAGGCTGTAACGGATGGAAACATCTTCCACCATTTGAGCAACTTCCTTCTCTCCAATTTCTTCGGGTAGAATACTTGTTATCCCTAGAGTACATAGACGAAGAGAACTCGCAACACCAACATCAAAATTCTTGCTTCTCTTCTTTACCCTCCTCATCCAGTGGAGCAGCAACAAGAAGAAGAGAAGCAACACCAGTATCAATATTCTTCCCATCCCTGAAAGAACTCGAATTGGTTACCTTGCTTAAACTGAAAGGATGGTGGAGGAGTACTACTGAAGCAGAAGAAGAAGCAACAGCAACCACAACTTCTTCACCAGCCCAACAGCAATATCATCAGCTCCCATCATTTCATTCTCTTTCCAAATTAACCATCAGTTCCTGCCTAATTTTGGCATCAGTGCCTCTTCTGCAACCATGTCTTGAAACACTAGATCTCATTGCGGTCAACAAGAATCTAGTACAACAGTTAATGATGATGGTGTCTCCAACAACTATCGCAACGTCGTCCTCTTCATCTTCTTTGCTTCTTCCTCTTCCCAATTTAAAGTCTCTGTCTTTAACATTCATTGAGGATCTAGTTACTCTGCCCGAGGATTCGTTTCGAAGCCTCACTTCTCTCCAGAAGCTTGAGATTTGTTATTGTGGAAGACTAACCTCTCTGTCAGGAACACTGCGACATCTCACCGCACTCAATTCCTTGTCTATCCGCCACTGCTGTGGGCTTGATCTGTTAGATGATGATGACGGCATGCAATTTCAAGGCCTCGAGAGCCTGACGTATCTCCATATTGAAGCTCTTCCACAGCTGGTATCTCTTCCTGTGGGGCTTCAACATGTTACGACTCTGTAAAAACTCTACATTTTTCCATGCCTTAAAGTTTTATCTGATAGATGCCAGAAAGAAACAGGGAAAGATTGGCCCAAGATTGCTCACATCCCAATTGTTTCTCTTGATCCATATCCTCGTTTTTCGGTAAGACCATATAACTTCATCTTATTCTTCTCTCTTCTTGTTCATTGTCTCTTTCTTTATTTAAGTTCAATTGTTTGTTTTATGGGACAGATAGACAAATTTGAATTTGAATTGGATTTGCAATCAGACAGTGATGGGCTACAATGACGAGTCATTGTAATAAGTAAACAAGATAGCACATTTCATTCTACAAATTGCAACTACAACAACTTAGTAAATATCCTCTCTCTAGTCTCTCGTCTTTGTACTTCTTTCTTCCTCTTCTCCTTTTGTTATTGTTAATGTAATACTCTTTAACAGTGAATAAAATTATACCAAGTTTGAATAGAAATATTATAATTTTTTTTGTTGATTTTATTTTTTCCTTTTGATCTTAACAGGGAATGTCCGCATGTGTTATGGGGTATGGGGTACATTTGTTTTAGTCTTCTTCTTTTTCCTGTCCATGTGTTTAATTTCGAAGGTGAGACATTTTATTAGCTTAATTATTTTGTGACTTTTATAAACCAATTTGTGATTTTTTTTTTTTTTTTTTTTTTCATACTCCGATAACTTTATAATTTTAAAAACAAAATTCCATCTTTCAAAATGAAAAATGGAACTATCCATTTCTCTTAATTGTTGGGAAAAGATTGTGCAAAATTAGAGAGATAATAATTAGGATAACTGATTAAAGGCAAGGAGTAATACACTTGGAACAATATTCGCTCTAGTTTTCCTGGTATGTATTAGGTTATGACAAATTTACCTATAGATATAATGAAACTAGCTAGGTCCATAGACTGTGCCTACAGGCATTATGCACTAACAAAAACATAACATAATACTGATTAGAATAATTAAAAGATTTTTATGTACTTGCCATTTAATAATTTCTTCTTAATTTATACCTGAACTCACCATATCAACATGTAAAGGTGCATAGATAGCCTTTACTTTTTTTTTCCCCTCCAGGATTAAATGGTGTCTCCCACCCCTGCACGGTTTTGTTTTTGAGTTTTGCCCCAAAAGGCCTCATATTAATTGAAGTGACACACCTACATTTAAGTAGGGATGTCAATTTTTACCGCCCCGCTGGGGCTCCGCCCCGTCCCGCCCCGTTAATAACGGATATGGGAACACTTTTTATACCGTTGGGGCGGGTATGGATACAAATTTTATACCCGTCGCGAGTCATGGGGTGGGTAAAGGTTCAGTATACATATCCTGGGGGCCCGCCCCGCCCCGTTCCGCTAAGCATATAACTATATTTAATATATATATATATATATATATATATATATATATATACAATATTAATAACTTATTTTAGCGACTTACCCAGATATCCATCTCTTACAATCCTAATTTGGGATGTAAATTTGATATTAAATATGCTTTTGTTTTGGTTATGGTGGACGTTGGAGTTTAGAACTTCTTGTGATTTGGTTATATTAAACTTTTATTTTTGTTTGTTATGTTCTCTGAATTATGGCATGTGCATGTTATTTTTTTTATTTTTGTTGAGATAATAATTTCATTTATGTTGTGTCATTCCCAGGATTTCCGCATATAAATAGCAGGAGCTTAAGTTCTAAAAAGTGGGAGAAAAAAATTTAGTAGGGCGGGCACGGGGGCACAGTATTCCCTAATGGGACGGGGCTGGACATAAAAATTCAACCCGTTGCGGGTCTCGGGGCAGGCATGGACTTGACAAAAATTAAAAGGGGCGGTGCGGAATTTAGGGAAACCCGCTCTAAACCCACCCCGTTGCCATCCCTACATATAAGCACTTCACCTTTCCTTTACCCAGGCGATGTGGGACTATGCACCCGTAGCTCGCCAGTGTGGTAGCCTGATAGTGTCTCGCACCCGCCCACGGCACACCCGCCTACAAGGTCATCACAATCCGCTTTGGGCCTGAGCTAAATTGAATAAAATGAGTTGTTGTTTACTGTGGATATTGATATTTGGACATTTTCTGCTTCTAGAGCATCATTATTGTTTTCTATGAAGCTTGAATGCTTAGCTGAAATGTTTTTCACATGTAGGTTCTTGGAGCTTGGGGGGAGGGGAAGGTAAGGCCAAAAAACAAAAGACAAACAGAGGCAGCATGAGGTGCAAGGGGAATGTGAGCCTATGTCTATATATTAACAAACGCTGGTTTATCAAGAGTACGAAAGAAAAGCAGTTTGAATTGCCACAAATGTTTGCTACTTAGTTTCTTCCACTCCAAAAGTTACTATAGTTGGCTTTCAACATATATATTAACAAACGCTGGTTTATCAAGAGTACGCAAGAAAAGCAGTTTGAATTGCCACAAATGTTTGCTACTTAGTTTCTTCCACTCCAAAAGTTACTATAGTTGGCTTTCAACATATATTTCTGTGGCTATTTACTACTGGAGACTTATTGTCCCTATTGGTACTAGTGATTAAGGTAGCAATTCCGCTACATATTTTGTCATCCATTTTTCTGCTGCATATGTTGTAGGAGAGAAGCAATGGGCTTCTCTGTGGAGCAAGGATATTCAATCCAGAGAGGCAATATAAGCTGTGGGCAATAGCAAACAACTCTGGGATGATTACTGGTAAGAAATTTTACTAATGAACGGACTTTTAAATTGTGCTTTACAACTAACTATTTGGGTTGTCTAGTCCATGAGCCTTCATTTATGTTTGTTTGGTCAGGGCGGTAATATGTTCTTTCAGCCCATTTCAGAAAGGCTAGAGAAGTGCATCCAAACCCAAGAATGGTTGGCCAAGAATGGGAATGCTATTTTGTGCCTCAGAAACTTCATAGGTAAGCTGTCAGCAACTATTTTTTTTTTTTTTCCTGGGTAGCTGTCAGCAATTATTATTTGGTTCTTTTATTTGTAATGTGCACTAAGTTCTAAATCTGCCTTCATATTTTTACTGTCATTTGACAATTTAATGCTCATTCACATGGTGTTCCATTAACAAGGTTGTCAACATTCGCATTCTTGTTTCCTTATTGTATGCTACTGCAATCTCTGGACAGGTTTTATAGCAAGTTGACGTTGAAAATTACTTGATTATTGATGTCCTATTTTCTTCCTTGCAAATTCAGTGAATGCTGCATTACTTGTGAATAATAAAATTAGGTACAAAAAATGTGCTTAGTTTCACTACATTCCATAAAGTCATTAACACAATTCATTTGCCATGGAAGCTCATGCTGGATGCATTTTGGTAAAACAAAAAGTATTGGGCTTAATGTTGGTATATGTTGTAAGACTATCTGTAAAAACCATGTGAAAAATCTTTTTTGTTTCATAGTTGATACTCACACACACATGCCTCCAAGGAGGCTTGAACCCTTGACCTTATTTTGGAAAGTAAGAGCCTGATACCGCTAGGCTACTGGCCTGTTGGTATGTGAAAAATCTTTATTCATCTCTCTATATCTTTCCACTAGTATCCTTTTCAAATAGCTTCCATTGTAGAACTCCCCGATGTAAATTCAAATTGATTGTTCAACATTATAGTTTCACATCTAACTTGTTGGTTAATCTGTTTCAAATTTTCATAGTATGACTCATAATTTAATCCTACCATAGTTTCTTCAACTTTAAATATCACCTTTACTTTCTTATATGGGTATTGAAATACTTCTAGGCTGCTAATTTGGCACTTTTTTATGAACAATTTTGTCAACCAAGACTTGCTATCATCACCTGAACACTTCCAAGTCTCGATAGAGATGCCATCTTGTTCTAATTTCTAAACTGCTTCATATTTTCCATATTGTTTTATTTTGCACACCTAATCCTTTTGCAATCTTCCTAAAATTACTATATTTTTCTAACCTAAGCCTTTTGTATGATTTTGAATTACAACTTCTTAAGATTACGCATGCCTCCAAATGTCACTAAATTATATGATATTGCTTTATACAGTTGAGTAAGTTATGGTAGGAACTAAAAGTGTGGTCTAGTTACAGCTGAGTTGGTTCTAGTGGAATATTTGATTTATGTGGTTGGGAGTTGCCTGTTTAGGAAACAGAACAAAGTACAAATTGGTTGTTACTGTAACTTTCAAGGTGGCAAAATAGTGTGTGAATTACGTATTTTGGTTTCTTATTGAAGCCGTTAGCTTATAGAAAGGGCGGTGGGGATTTTAATATCAAATCTTTCATGAACCCAATTTTTATTTATTTGATATGCTCGGATATGATCACATAATGACTCTTGTTGGTTTTATTTGGCGAGGATGTGATTGTGATAATAGATTGGCATCCTGGCAAAATTCTTACTGCAATCCTGTATGCAGTGTGAGGAGGCAGTAGAAACTTTTATATCAAGACTTAAAAAGAGCTGAATTTTGCTAAATAGTGTCTGTCATGGAGTACTTCAAAAGGATTGTTTGTCCTGGTGGAGCTGATATCGGCTCATATAATAGTAAATTTCGTAGATCAATTGATCTTTTTGAGAAAATTGCTCATTGAGCAAAGCCTGAAATTGATTGAAGTTTCTACAGTTTTTGTTATTTTGTATGCATTTTAATTTAGTGTTTGATTTCATATTCAAATATGAGACTCTCTATGGCTATGATTAGTTGTTCATTGTTCCTTTTCCCCTCTCCTCTCTGCTTTTATAAACTTCATTTTTTCCACTGCTAGTTTTAGGCACTTTAGGGTGTATATTCAGGTTGCAAGTCTTAGTTTTATAATTTTGCTTAGGTTTTGGTAAAACTTGGTTTAGGCTTTTTAGGGTGTACTCTCAGGTTGCACATCTCGGTTTTCATAAATTTTCCTTTAGATTTTGGTTAAAACTTGCTCCGTACAGCAGAACATGCTCTCTCTCCATGAGCAAAAAAATTGATTGGATAGATGAGGCGCCTTTTACATTGCGTTGACAAGTGTGAGAATGCAGTTTCAAGTCTGCTTGGTGCAAAATAATTCCAAAGTTCAGTTTTGTCTCGTCTTTTCTCCCATCATCACCCTGAATAAGGTAACCAGGCCTAGTTAATGTCCTGTTCGTGGTTTTATGTCCACACTTAATACTAGGTTTATTATCACTGAAAGATGGCGTTGAGAGAGACAAATATCATTATTACTTGCAAATATGGTTCTAATTCGTGGATGAGACTGCAGATTCAGACTCGATGGCTGTGTTTGCAATCAATCCCTAGCAAGGCAAGTAAATAACATGTAAAAGGTTACTTTTTATTTAGTAATGTACAAATTAATGGTTTTATGAGAATGGCAGAATATTTTACTCCCTTAAAATTCCCTCATCTAAATATCATTTCGAGAATGGCAATATTTTTGTTTTAAGAAGATGTCATCAGTATCTGAAAATGTTAATCTTTATTTTCTCAAGAATTCACTATGTTATATTTTACCTATCTCTATGCTTTAATACAAATTTTTCTTTGCAGAACATCTAAACCCACAGATTCACTGGCTCCAGTAGTGAGATTCAAATCTTTGTGAGTCCGTAAGACTTGAGAACTTGTGTGCACTGCATTGGATGTGGCATTAATTTGATGGATGTTATTAATATTTGGACATATTTCTGCTTCTAGATTGTATTATTATTGTATTGTTATGGATCTTGAATGCTTAGTTGAAATGATTTCAGAATACTATCATGGAGCATGTCGGTTCTTGGGGCTGGGTGAAGGGGAAAGTCAAGGCCAGAAAAGCCTAGCACAAATAAGGGCTGCACGGGACGAAAACTCAGAGGCAGCGCTGAGGTGCGAGGGGAACGTGAACCTACATGTAAATAAACGCTGGTCCATCAAGAATACATAAAAAAAAAATAAATAAATAAATAAAAACACTTCAAATTGTTGATTAAATTGAGAAGTGGTTCTTTCAAACCTGCAGCTATTATTTGTTCAGTTGAATAGTTGGATTTGAGAATTTTCAATTACTCGCATTTGATCAAAACTGTTATGTTTGGATATAGTTATTTGGATTTCATCAAAATTATACTTTGTGTTTAATTGACTCTTTATGAATACCAATATGCCATTCGAGATTGTATGAAATTGTCGAGTATTTGCACTGTAATATAACTTCTGAATATGTACGTATACACGGAGTACATCTTTTCAAGTCTAAAGCTTCTTAGCTCGCTCATTCCTCAGCCTAAACAAAACCCTGCTTTTGAATTCAGAAGACAGTGGTACTTTATGAACTACACAGAAGTACACCCCAATAATGTAGTTGCTACATATTATATAGTCTACAGTGTGGTACATTAAAAAGTAGGCTCTGATAATAAAACGTATATGGTATTATAAGGGTGTGAAATTCTTTGTTGAAATGGATTAAAGGAATCTAAAACCTGATGAATATATAACGGTGAGTTGGTTGTTTGGAACTCTGGCTAAATGGGTTGATTCTTATGTGAGAACATGTAGAGAGCTACCATCTTGTTTGAAGAAATGCCTAAGCGGAATTATGAAAATATTAGTAACTTAAAGGTTAAATATATTATGTTGTTAGTGGAATTATGAAATATTTACTTGTTCATGTATGTGATGTTTAGAATTCAACTGCCATAAAGCAAAGACAATGGGTAGATTAAGCTGGTCAATGATCAACAGCACGCATACCTAATATTTCTTGTTTTTGCTTTTTTTCTTTTTTCTTTTTTTATTAAAAAATAAAAATAAAAATACTCTTGTATCTATCTATAGCTAGAATTTTTTTTTTATTCGTTTATTTTTTAAAATTCAAGAATCAACTCACAACTGCTAATCATTTTGAACTCTCATGTGATTTGCAATCTCCAAATGCCCAAAAGATACACTACCTTTTTTACCATTTTAAATTGACTTATAAAGATGGGTAAACTTGAGTTGAGAATGGTGATGTATTGGGTTGTGTAATGTTAAATATAGAGTTATACGCGTACCTTTTTCACCCAATTAAATGGAATAGATATTGAATGCGCTGAGCATTTACTTATCTAAACTTTACGAACATATATACCTGCACGTTCCATAAGACTTGGATTAGTCTAGTCCACCATGGCCGACACACCCAATATTTTTTCCAAACTAATTGGCTGCAACATAATTAATTAGAAACACTTTGATTCGAAGATTTGAATTAATGATCTGTCTCAGCTAGTGGTGCATAAGTTTAATCAATGTAAATCTAATGGCGCTTTTTTCTCTCCAATGGGCTCGCTATTTTTGGTCCCAGAAAAATTAAATCGGGGAATGGGTTGCTGTTTTTGGAGACCCTTATGCTGATCTGCATGCGGGCCCAGTTACAAATGTTGACTTTATTAAAACAGGGTCAGATCTGTAGCAGTGTTTCAAGGACCTGTTTGGCTAAACAAAAGTTTAGAAATTATTTTGCTTCTTATTTGCATTTTTTTTTTACTCTTCTCCCCTATATTGTTTTAATTTTTATAATCTATAATAAATATTGAATTATTTAATTTTTATCACCAGAGGCACACACATTGAATTCATATATATATATATATATATATAAATGAAGGATCCCTCTATATAACTTTAGACTTGAATAGAAGCTATGGTTTTGTTCTGTATAGATGTTTTCCCCCAAAATAACCAAGAAATCTAGTGAATTTGGACAAATTTAGGAACTTTTGTGGATAGATTTGGCATTGAGAGTTGTAGTTTTATGAAATTTGAAAGGCTCTAAACTAATAAAGAACTTCAGTACTAATATACCCTAGATTAGGGGAAATAAAAATTTGTGTATTTTAATTTGTAATAGAATTTAGAGGTGAGTTTAGGTTATGTCCTTGTAATGATCATTAAAGAAGATCGTAGGTTGTTTTGCCATTTTCTTCAGTTTTGGAATTTCTTTTTAGATATATCATTTATAATAAATTTACATTGAAAGCAAATGTAGAAATGGTAGTGATTACTGTTCTGGCCATTATTGTCATGTGCTTGGATACGAGTTCAACATCATATCACAGCTTGCTATGATTTTATGTTGGTTAATTTCCATTGTATTCTTTCCATCTCTTGTAAGTTATTGCTAGTTTGCAGTGTATTGATCTCTTTAAGTTATTTAATTTATTTATAATAAAGAATTATGTTTACTTATCATACATGAAGAAGCTTAATGGCATGAGTACTGGAAAAATGAGTATGTTCCTTTAAGTTATTTATTTTTTATTTGTTACAATATATATATATATATATATATATATATATATATATATATATATATATATATATATATTATAACAAATTTGTTACAAGTACTATGTTTTATAAATAAAAGCCAAGATATCTCTTGTTTAATTCTGGGATATAAAAATAAATTTTGGTATGCTGACAGATTATTAAAACAAATTTTAGTGGCATAATATTCTAAAGGTTTACAACAAAAAGTTAAAGAATAACCTAAAATTATGGGAAGGAGATTCGAACCTAAGATCATAAGGTGGGAGCACTTAGAGCCAGCCCTTTTATCATTCTGACAACACCACCACACTTGCCATATTAGTTAATTTGGTTTTGAGATGGGATCAGACTTGGTTCCTTCCTCGGATTCATTAATAAAAGCAACAATGCATCTGAAGATGCAAGAAATTCGTTCCCTCTTTCTCTCTCTAGAATTCTTACACTTCAACCCCAAAAAGCTCTTCCCCCTTTCCATTCCTTCTCCTATTTATAGATATTTACAAGATATTTACAAGATATTGACTGATTGCTGGATCTGGGCCTATTCCTCCATAAGTCCTGGTCACCTTTGATGGGCTTACTCGCGTTCGGCCCATATGGCAGTGTCTTTATATGGGCCGACCCAGCTGTACGGACCGAATGTAGTGCTTGCAAGTCGGATCCGGCCCATGTCGTCCTGGGCCTCCTCAACTGCCCCCATAATTGCCCCTTATTTAATAAGGGGTAATTATTGATGGCGTCTCATCATGATGTTGACGGCTCGAGAGAACCACGTGGGGGAACGGACGGTCAGATCCAGAATCAATGTTTCGGGGCTCGAGGAATTTCTCGCCTTCCCGACGCTTCGGCCCTCGGGCCCCCTCGCCTTTATAATGCTCTAGAATACCACTTCACGTCCTTTTACCGTCTCCATCATCAGTCAAATCTCTCTCTTTCTAGAACAGTGCTAAGCTTTTTCTGGTGAAATCCTTCAAGAGTCATTCTTCCAGCGATCTTGCAGTCCTCCGAGGTTAGTTTCGTTCTTTTTTACTTTCGGCAGGCTTCCATTTACCCCCTTTTAGATCCTTCAAGCACTTCCACCATGGTTGTAGATCTGGATGTTCTTCGTATGAGACTTAGACTTCCTGACAATATCGAAGTTACGGTTTGCCCTCAGGACGTTAACATTATGACCGGCGCCGGCCTCCTGCCCGGCGAAGTCTTATTCACGAACCTTCAATTGAATGTTGTTAGGTTCCCTCTGCACCCTTTCTTTAGTTATGTCTTCAATAGATTGGGGATATCCCCCCTGCAGGTCAACCCCAACTTCTTTAGAATCATATCTGTTATGCTCTTGTTGATGCGTGACAGAAATCTGGACCTTGACCTCATAGACCTTCTTCTGTGCTATAAGGTCAGTAAGATCCGTACTAACGAACCCTTCTACCACCTCTACCCGTTCGAGAAGATGTCCATATGTACGGACACAATAAAATCTGAGAAGGGTTGGAGGGATAGCATCGTGGGCATTAGTGGGGCTTGGTCTTCGCCGGCTGCAGAGGGTTACCCAATCCCGAGCGCCTTTGGTGTCTGTTCTGTCTCCTCCTATAAGAAATTCAAATCTCATAAACATGATTGCCCCTGCGAAACATGCGTTCCTCGTTTTTGCACTTTCTTATGCCGTTCCTTAGGAATACCTTGTGATGACTTGAGCTACAATGTTTGCAGGGATAGGAGTAACTACTTGAAGAAATACGTTCTGAACGATATTCCTTCCTGCTCAGATCTCCTCACTTCAGACAACCTCTTAGCGCTCTCATCACTCGGCTACAACATGAGCAGGCTTCAGATTCCTTCTTTTGGCAGAAAGAAAAATACTCCCCCAGCCACTCCTGCTGCTGGGGCGACCTCCTCTCCAACGTCAGCCTCTTCCTCAGCCACCATCTCTGACACTGTCCCGAGCACAGTGGCAACTAACTCTGTTGCCAGCGCCCCTGCTGCCAACCAAAGCGCGTCTCCCCAAGCTACCACAGCTCCTGCTGCTGCGGGGGGCGTTCGGGACAAAGAACGAGGCAAAAGGCCTCATCCTGACAGTGAAGTCGATCCTGAGGAGGAGCCTCTCATTAGAAGGACCCGGGTCTCCGGGCCGGGTGCTCTCTTGCACCGTGCGATCAGAGCTCCTGCTCCCTCTGGGCCTACTGCAGCTGGTGGCTCCGCTTCTGCTTCAGGCCCCCCTTCTATCCCCACCTTACCGCCATGGGCCCCTCGGTACACCCGAACGGATGGGACGTTCGTGAAACCGAACGAGACCATGCTGAAGGATGGCCAGACCGCCATGGCCTACTACAGGAGCATGTGGACTCCGAAGGACCTTGAGGCGGCAAAGGGCCTATCCCAGAAGGATGTGTTCAGCCGCTTTCCCCAATCTGCTATGGAGGTGACTTTTATTTTCCAACTCATGAATTCTCTCATATTATTTGGTCTTGCCTTCGCCCGACCTGACTATTGGCTTAACCGTTTTTAATATGCACCTATGCAGACATTGTTCGGAATGATGGCCATGCAGAAGCAGGTGGAGATGGGGAACGCCAGGGCCCGTAAGTTTTCTGACAGCCTGGAGGTGGCTAATAAAGAAAACGACCTCCTCGCCATGAAGAATACCGAGGTACTGGCTCGGCTTGACAAAATCGAACAAGAGAGAGATGTCCTGAAGAAGGAGAATGACTCCCTTCAGGATGAGAAGGACGCCCTCCAGCTTGAAAAGAGCGTCTGGCAGACTGAGCGTGAATCAATTAGAGAAGAAAAGGCAGAACTCCAGCGCCTTCTGGCTGACGAACAGTCTGCTCGGATGGCTTTCGAGAAAAGAGCTCT